GGTGGATGTTAACCCCAGGAGCCGAATGTCTGATTGTCTGGCCGAATATTGTAAGTGACTGTTTTCCATTGTTATGAAATTATTATTTTGTGCTACTATTATCCATTCGTCATTGTTTATTGTCTGGATTGTTATACTTCACTTCCTCTTGCGTATTCGTGTGGGTATTTCGTTTGGGTAGGCGACACGTCTTGGGACGTCGAGTTCGATACGACCGTCGTAGGGGTGTCGCGAGCCCGTTAGGGTCCAGGGCGTGACATCTACTCCTGGAATAGAAAAAGAATGGAAATGCATTTGGTACAACCAAAAAAATTTCTATTCCCAATTTTTTTTCATTCAAGTCTATATCTTTTATTTAACTATAAGTACAAGTTATTAGTGAAAAAAACCAATAAACATTGTTTATTGATTTGTCTAATCCTTTTTAACTCACACTACTTTATAGATAGATATATATATATATATATATATATATATATATATATATCTTTAGCATGCTCTTCATGGATAAAATTAATTTTCTTAATCTTTTTATTATTCTGAATACCATATTTATCTATTTCAAAAGTTTCTTCACAATCGCTATTATAAATACTATTTATTCTCGTATTAAATTACCAAAAGATAAAAAAGAATGCTTACATCTTAACCATATGTTAGTTGTTTTCATTACCAATAAATAAACAAAACGAGAACTCCTTCTACAAATGTGAAGAAGTGTAACAGTCTGAATTTTCGATCCTTTTCCTGGGATTTAAGAAATGAATTTTACCAATGCACTATATTGAGGTCTCACCCGGAAATGCGCATTCACGGGATGCTAACCTTAGGGGTAGGGCCGTTACGGGATTGGGTTCGATCTTCGACCATATGAATTGACGAGGGAATGTTTTGAACCAACCGAGACCGGTCTATCTGATTGATCGTGTCCGAAGGGAACTAGTGACAGACCCTCGCAATTATATGACAACCGAGGTCGTCCTGGGTAGAGTAAACTTAAACGTGATTTGACTTAGTGTCGGTCACGGGTCGAGAGCGCGTAATTCCAGAGAGCCACCCGTTAGCCAAAGATAAGCTAAAGTCACGATTGTTCAATTTTAGTCATTTCTTGGAATTCGAGCCCGGGAATCGAAAATTTTGAAAGTGACAATTTTGAGCGGCTGATGATGTTTTTGGCTTGGCCAACCTTGGGGCCACCCATTTTTGCAAAAAAATGGATTTCGGTTCGGGACCGGAAAAATTACGATTTTGCCCCTGTGGACAGCGATGTTGGATTTTGAGGTCATTTGAGGTTATTTTTCGAGGCTAGTGTCATTTTGGGGTGGCCACACGCATTTAGAGTTGTTTCGGTCAAAAATTGGAATTTTGGCTCGGAAGTGAAAAATAATAATATTTTATTCCTAGGACTTTGCAGTCGATTTTCAAGGGCTTAATAAGCTATTTTCACGATTTCGACGCCATATTATGTTGGCCACGCCCATATGGAACCTGTATGTGCGAAAATTGGAATTTCGCCCCGGGACCGGAAAATTACCATTTTACCCCTGGACCCGGTATTGGGAATTCCGAATTTTGGACAATTTTGGGCAATAATTGAGGACTAAAATAAGTGAAAAAAGAAATTGGAATTATTGATTTACCACGTTGCCCTTGAATTATTGGATAAGGATTAATGTGGGCCAAGTGTTCAAGGGCATTTTGGGCATTTTTGGAAATGTTGGTCCAACTAGTCAAACCTCTCTCTCTCTCCTCCCATTCTTGTTCCCCAAGCCGGTCACTCCCCCCCCCCCCCCCTCACGATCAGTTTCTCTCTCTCTCTCTCTCTCTTTCTCTCTCTCTCTCTCACTCTCTTCATCTTCTTTTCCTTCCATCACCGCTGCTGCTGCTGCTGCTGTTCCGCCGTTTCAGCCACCGTTCCAGACCCGTTCTGTCTCACTTTTTAGGTAAGTGACCTCCCCAAATGTTGCCTAGGACCTCGGGTATTGTTAGGCTTGTTTAGGGCTCGGTTTAGGGTGAGTTTAATGGCTGGTTTGCTCGGTGGTGTGTGTTGGCTGATTTCCAGTTAAGTTGCTGCTGCATCGCTGGTTTTTGTTATTTTTACTGTGACTTTTTTGGCCAGAATTTGAGGAATGTTTCTTCATGAAAGTTGTTCCCAACATCTTGAAGTATAACATATTTTAATTTGGGAATTTTTGGAAATCATTTGATGCCATTCGGAAGTCCATCTTTGGACCGAAATAAAACTGCCCGATTTACTGTTCACCCGACCTTCTGGTCTGTTCGAATTTTTATAAATTTTTCCAAGCCTATTTTCAAAATACTTCCTTCACAAAAATTGTTGGGGACATTTGTCGTTATAACATATAAAAATTTCAAGGTTTTCCAAAATGATTTGTGTGCCGAATGAGTTGTATTTTGATGGCCTGAGGGGCTGTCCGAGCGAACCGGATTTCGTCTGGCTTTGAGTGTCAAAACGAGGTGTTTACGGTTAGAATTGGGTTTCGAATTCTCATGGAAAATGTTCATAAAGATGTTTTGTACAACATATCCAAATTTCAGAATTTTTGGAATTGATTTACTATTTATTTCAAATGGATTTCTGTCATTGTGTAACTGCCCAGTTTGGACCCGATTTTGTTCACTCTCGGTTTTTATCTCTCTCGGACTGATTAGGCGATGAAATTTTGAGGTTTAGGGAGCTTGGATTAGGGCTGTGATGTTGGGGTTTGATCGGAATTAATTTGTGCGATTAATTAATGGGATTGTGCCTTGAATGGAAATTTGTGCGTGGTTGTGTGATTATGCTTGTTGGTTGGCTTGGAAATCGTTGTGGGCTGAATGTGGTGTGGTGGCGTGCCGTGTTTGTGTAGCCGTGAAGTGTGGTGATATGGTGATGTGAATGTGCATTGAATTCGCGTGCCAAGAGCGTGGGGTTAAGTGGTGTGTGTTCGTGTGACGAGAATGCGAAATTATGGAATATGTGTGAAGTGTGTATGTTTGGCAGTGTGTTCGTGTGGTGGCATGGTATGTGTGGAGAGTGTGGAACGAAGGTTTGGAAATGTGGGATTGGTTGGAAAGGATTCGTCCTGAGGCGTGTTCGTTTACGCGGGACGATGCCGTCCCTGACGAGGGGACGATGCCCGGCCTGACGAGGTGTCGATGCCTGACGTGGTCAGAAGACCGTTGGCCTAATGCGTTTTACGCGGGCACGGTAGAAGGAAAGTGTGTGTAGGATTCCGTCCTGAGGCGTGTTCATTTACGCGGGACGATGCCGTCCCTGACGAAGTGACGATGCCCGGCCCGACGGGGTGACGATACCTGACGAGGTCAGAAGACCGTTGGCCTGATGCATTTTACGCGAGCGCGGTAGTGGTGGAAAGGTTGAGAATGAGCAAGAATTGGCGGGACGAGTGAAATTAAGAAAGTGACGTGTCGTGTGGTGTGAGTTGGGGTGCGAGTGTATTTGTATCGCGTGGTGTGATGCTCGATTATGGGGTAAAAACTGCTAAGCATGGTATGGGACGTGCCCAAGTGGGTTTTGCTCTATAATCGGGGCACGCGCGCGGCTGTGATGTATTTATGTGGCATACTGGCTGTGTGGTTGACTAACGTGCAGGGACGTGCGTGATGGATTCCAGGTAGGGTCGCATGTGATTGTTAGTTTGGCCGATCGTTGTGTGTTATGTGTGTTTTCGTCTGGCGGTACGTGAGTGCCTACGTGGGGTTTGGGGTTGTACACTTATTGAGATTCGTCTCACGGTTATATAACCGCCACTTTCAGACCCCCGGTCCTAAATCCGGGAAGTGCGCCTTTTCTTTTTGGAAGTCCGGGGAGCTGCTGTTGGTGCCCAGTGGAGCTGCAAGTGAGTTCCAGAGATTCAAGCCAGAAATTCAGAAGCAGAATGGAAGAGGGCGACCCTTAGATTTTTCCCTAGGGTGTTTTAGGGGTTGTATAACTTGGGTTATCCGATAGTGAAGTTAAGATAACCAAACCCCTGAACTTTTGTTTAAACGGTGACTGAGGGATGTTAGTCTGTATTTATGTCTGTAATATGATGTTTGTATATTTGGTGTTGTATGAATATGTGGTTGCTGGATTATTCTGTTGTTCTACCCCGTTGTCGTCATTATTTGTCCGGGGTTTTGTTATTCGCTTCCGCATATGGCTCTAATGTTTGGGTTGGGTCGGCGACGTTCCTGGGATGTCGCATCATTTCGACCGGAGCAGGGGATGTCGCGAGCTCGTTGGGGTTTGGGGCATGACAATAACCCTCCGAGTCGACCTTGACACTGCTATAATATACAACAGCTAACATCACTAATTTTTATCACTTTAGAAGATTATACCTTTCTTTCTATTTATGAACTCTTTCCTATGATGTATAGAGTTCCTTGCCACTATATATATATAAAGAACATTCGAAACTCCATATATGACATTATAGTAACACGTGGAAGATGATGTGGATTTTATTGGGCGCTTGAATATGATCCATTCGCTTTATTAATCACTTAAATAGTCACAGTAACTTTGAAAATTGATTTATATAGACATGAATCCTTAATGCCTCTTTGGACAGTTATGTCCTAATAGGGTCAGGACTTGGTTTGAGCTATAGCTTGTATTTGGTGGTTGAAAAGTTATATATACACTTACCTTTACCAAAAAAAAATAAAAAAAATCCTTAATGCCTCCTCATGCCACTCATCTGCATCCTCCACTTGTGTAGGTCCAAATGGGCACTCCGGATCTCCATATAGGGAAAAGTTTTTGTCCATCCTTTCTAGCATTAATCAATGTGGTGTCCAACAGTTGATTGCATGTAGAAATTTGAATTCTATGCCTAGCCTGTGAAAGAAATTGGTAGATGGATTTACTTCCATCCTAATTTGGAGTTGGACTTGAAGATGAGTAAACAGCCTATGAAAGAAATTGGCAGATGGATTTACTTCCATCCTAATTTGGAGTTGAAGCAGAAGATAAATTTATATCCTCGAACTAGTGAATTCAACACTGCAAATCATAATTTCCTGATCGAGCCAATAATGATCATACGATGGTATTTCATGAACAAGTATGTCAAACATAAGGACGATTGTGTGTGATCAATTGCAGCTAACAATCTCAAAACTTGCCTCAAAAACCTCTTAATTGTCCATCCTAAGCAAAATAGGTTTTCAACATAGGCTCTAATGTCATACCACCGGTCACTTGTGAATCCCTACTGCGCAGGCTAAGCTCTGCAATTGGAAGTTCTATTCAGGCTTCAACCAAGCAGGTATCATTCTCTACATGACCATTCCACCATCTATCGCGAAGACCTGCATAGTAACATCAAATTATGAAGCAAAGCAAAGATGAAACAACATCATGAGGGGCGAAAAGGGTAAAACAGCGAGAACAGCGATTCTTTTACCTGTCCCGTAATGTAGCTGGCTGCAAGGTTGATGGCAAGAAATTCCACCAGTCCAGCAACTTCTTCTGGCTTTCCGTACCTTCCTGAACTCATAAAGATGACTAACATCAGAACAGAAGTCTCACATACTCTTTGATAAAATAAATTTTGAAAGGCTACTCTTAGTTAAGACAACACAACACGGATACGAGGTCTGTTCTTCTTATTCGATGTTCCATCGGGGGTTAACGATACTCTCAATCCCTCCCTAACCCTAAAGCCACCAAAACTTTCCCTAGTATAGCGAGTATCTTCCTAAGTATAAAATATAATTCATACTTCTGTGTAACTGTTATTAGATCTCATGTAATGTCCTCAGAAACAGTTAGAGGACTGGAACATCCCTAAATCAGCAATTCTTCGGTGAAATATCCCTAAATCAGCAATTCTTCGGTGAAATACCACATCACTGGCAGCCACTCCTTAATATCTCACCTAACGGAATTGTCTCCAAGATTTTCTTTTCAACTTGTTCCCCAAGTTTGGCAGTCATATCAGATGCAATGAACCCTGGAGCAATAGCATTAACCTGGGGAATGATGTTGTTAAGCGAGCCAACAATGGCAGAATTACTTTGTCAGAATTACTTTGGCATGACGGATGGGTTACTAAGGGTGAATAAAATACAGTTCGAATTACTTTGTCAGAATTATGCACGGCTTGATACACGCGAAGTTTCAGAAAACTCAAAAAAAATTAACAAGTAATAAATATCTTAGCTTTTGTGCAAAATGCAAGTGGCAGAGTTTCTGTCATTTATTTCATGATCCAACGTTTCGAGTTCCGAGTTTAAGTAAGTCACATCAATTAGCTATATGATACTATCAACCATGTCCAAGTCTTTTTACATTTCTTGGAAATATCTTTTCTTTCAACTTGTGGAAATTGAACGAAAAACTTTAATGTGGATATTCTGACCCAAAATACATGACAGAAGTGCATCTACAAATGCACACTAGGAGGAATGGCACGAGTGCATGCACACACACAGACGCATACACAATTATGGCCTGTTATGAAGATATACTGTATCTTGAGAACCAACGTATGCAATTCCTTGAATTATTTCAGAATGGCTCGCTAAATAAGGGAGTCCGTTTACTCAAATCACCGTAGCCACTTTGCCAAGAGAAAGCAACAGATGTGCGTAGGAAAATATATCAGTCAATTGTAGAGCAGAACACTCATAGCTGGCAAAGTACTAAGTTGCTAACAATCAAAGCCAGTGGGTTGAGAAGATCACACCCACCTTGCAACCTGATTTACCCAGTGATAATGCCATGGCTTTACCAGTACCCCTGGAGGCTCCGGTAACTATCACGACAGGCGATTCAACACTTTGAGCACCTTCTGTGCTCACTTTTTCAACAGTGGCAACCTGAGCTCTTACACCTGCATGAACAATTAATAACCCACGAGGTTAATGATAGATTTATCCAGCACTAAAAGCCAGAGATTTATGGCCCATGTTTCCTGTACAACAAAGCCAAACCACAATACATCACCACTTCCCTGAGGGCTAACTTGCATTGAATGCAATTACTACACGAAGCTTGTGTTCCCTTAGCCTCACACTCACAAATTAAGGAAAAGAATATGTTGTCATTGCTAATCCTTTCCATGGAAAAACACAAATTACTCATCCTATATTGTAATTACTCCTCATAATCTCCCACTCGTGAGCATCCCAATCATTCAACTGTATTAAAACTTAGAAACGAAAAATCCGCAAACATCTTCCACGATCCAATTACCCCGGCACCTGCACTCCACACACCTCGGGCACTCCACATAAACGCAAGAGTCGAAGGATTACAAAGACACGGACTCTACATGCCCGAAACTCAGCAGGACCAGCGAAAACGTAGCAAACGCATTGCACGAAGGTAAAAAACGAAAGAATCAATACCGGCAATCGAGCTTCCACTTTGGCACTGAAGAGACGGCAGGTTCTGGAGCTGGCTCCATCGGGCTCCGCCAAGAATCAGCTTCACAAACATGAAGATATATTCAAATGCTCACCCAGATCTGGGCGCGAGGGCCACCCTTGCTGCTGTCAACCAAGGGCGGCCCGCGCCCAGATCGGCAAGGGCGACCCTCACTCGATGGTGGCAAGGGCGGCCCTTGCTCGACAGCGTCCCTATAGAATCACCACACTATCAAACAAAGACAAGAACAGAAAGGCGTACCGGTGGCTTTCAACTAGCCGGGGCTTCGCCGTGAGTGACGGGGTTGGTGGCCGGTGCTTTCAAACGGTCTACAGATGACGGAGGACGGAGGAGGAGCTAAAGCCGCAGCTTGAAAGGGAAGAAGGCGGTCTGCAGACGACAGTCCTCAGTTTCTTTTCTTGTTTCTTTGTTTCTATTTCCTTTTTTTGTTTCTAGGAACAAAGAAGTAAATTTTTTCTACTTCTTATTTCTGTTCCAAATCTATTTCCTGGCCACTTTTCTATTTCGAGAAATAGAAAAATTAACTGACGTTATCAAAGAGATTTCTGTTATTTTTTTTGTTCCGGAGAACAAAAGAACAGAAAAATAGAGAAGTAGAAACGTTACCAAACGTGCCCTTAATGTGGCATTGATCCACGATAACAGGAGCTGGTCTTTTTCAAACAAAGTTGGATATGTGGGATCATCAGATGAAGGTGGAGAAATAGAGCCATCAACATGATGCATCAGGCGATGACCAAGGATTTCCAAAGGAGATAATTAGAGGCATTCAGTTTGATTGGGATAAGGCTAGAAATGTTTGAAATCACAATAGGTGGGGACTGAACTGAGGTATTGATAGTGCTAGTAGCTTCAGAATTGTTGGAGGCAGCGTCAGGAAGAAGCAGGAGGATCACAAATAATGCTATTACAAAAAATGCTCTGATACCATAAAGAAAGTAAAAGAAGCTTTGAAATTTTTTTATTTTCCTTGTTCTTCTATTGATGTACAAAATACGTTTAAATAGATACATAGTTACATGATGAGGGCAAAATTGATTCCTTAAATCAGGGAAAGTATCCTCAAATTGAGAAAAGAATTTTAAATTCAAATCGAAGAAATTATCCTAAAAATTTTTAGGACGGTATATTATCAGGCTTTTCTCTATTTGGCTGAGGCAAGAGTTGATAAGCACATTCTGTTCATCTTTTGGGAAAAGTTCATTTAGCGAACAACCCTATTTGATAATTGGTCACACTAGCTACCCAAAATCTCCTTTTATTTCATGATTTACAAAGCTTGATTCTCTATTAGAACACTGTATATTTTTGTTAATATCAAGATCACTATTTAGAAGTTCATGTCACCAATTCCGATATTTTTGTCATCTAAGAAAGGTGCAGATTATTGCACTATATTCATGGGACTTATGCAAAGTCGAACATGATGAGAAATGCCTCAGTTCTTATGTAATCCAGTTTAAAAATTTGTTTTCAGTTCACTCTTTTGCATCTTTTCCAACAGAGTGCCGCGCCGCTGACTTGCTCAAATCTCCCCCCTCAGTCCATTCCACCTTCCCGTCTCTTGGAGTGGTCGAGTTATCTAAGATGAGACCTCCAACATCCTTTTGGATTACTTCATGTGCTCCAAGTGATATGCATGACTTTAATTACTAAATGATATGCATAAGATGGGTTATCACATGAATTAATGCTGCAATCACCTAAATGAGACTTCGAGCTTCCTTTTTTATTTTCTTGATTAATCAAACTAATGAATGCAAAGCTTAACTTCTAGAGACTACATAACCACAACCATGTATGCAATTAAACTAATTTAATTAAAGCATGAATTAGAAGCCTAATGTACAATCCTAAATGTATGTTGAACTAAACTTTATAAGATAAAAAACCAGTTTTTTGTATATTTTATTAATTAATTGAATAGGAAAATAACCCTAAACTTCTATATATGATTGAGATTAACATGCATTAAGTCCTAATAATTCATAAACTAAACTACCATGCATAAACATGTATAGACTAAGTTACTACATGATTAATACCATCAATATGAATGCAATCTACATTAGGGGTGTGCAAAATAATCGGGAATCACCCAAACCGACCGGAACCGAACCGGACCAGCTCAGAACTAGTGGTTCCTAAGGAAACCAATCTAGTTCCTGATTCCAGGTGTGGAACCACCCACCCAAATCGGACCGGTAATATAATAATATAATATATATTTATTTAATTTTTAATTACAAAAAATGAGGTTTTTATGGGAAATGTTTTCCTTTCTACCCCGTCTATTTGAATATTATATGGAGTGTTCGTATTCGCTTCCGCGTGCATTTAATCGCTAGTATTTCGATTGGGTCGGCGACAAATCCTGGGATGTTGCATACATTACGACCTTTAAGGGATGATCGCGCGCTCGTAGGGTTTGTGGCGTGACATCCCCGTTTAATTGGTATCAGAGCAAGGTTAGCTTGATCCAAGTTGGTCGAGACTTGGAGCGATAAGGACGGTGACTTTGGGGTAGTCAATTAGGGAGACTTGTTTGATCACAAGTTTAAAATGCTTAATGCAGGCCCTATGAATATGTGCTTGTGATTATTGGATGCTTGCTTGGCGATGATGTTCTTAATTGCAGGCGCAGCAAGGAGTAAGGTACGATCGAGAACTCTACTAGTTATTTCTTGGTTGATTGCTTGGTGGTTACTCGTTTCATGCTTATTGGTGTGATTTTTATGCCTAGAACTGCTAGACTTGCGTAGATGGCTTAGGTCTCTTATTCCTAGACGGAATTATAGCAATTTAGGTGTTTGGTGAGAAAACCCTATGAGAATGAGCAGCCGAGAAAGGGGGACAAGAGGCCGATCGGGTTCACGAGCTAGAGTTGTGGAGGATCATAGAGTGGATGGGATTTTGAGGGCACTTGCGGAGGTTGGAAACTTGATGGGTAGGTAGACTCAAGAACGAACTGCTACTGTTACTGCTGCTGCTGAGGCCGCTGTTGCCGCTACCAATGGGGCTAATGGAAATAATAGGAATAATGGTAATCATGGAAATGGAAATTGCTAGATACACCAACTAGTAGAGCAGTTCTTGAAGTTGAAACCGTCCAAGTTCGATGGGAAAGGAGATCCCGAGGCCGCTACTATCTGGGTTCAAGAATTGGAGAAAACCTTTGCACTATTGGGGTGCACAAAGGAAGAAAAGGTGACCTTGGCAATGTATCAACTTTAGGGTGTAGCAAATGACTAGTGGGAGGCCACCTGAGGTAGGGTTTTCCTTGTAGGCACGGTTCCGAATTGGACTACCTTCGTTGAGACCTACAATGGGAAATACTTCTTTGAGACTGCATGAGAACAGAAAATGGCAAAGTTTCCATGGCTCCATCAGAACCAGATGACAGTGGATCAAAACGAGGCGGAATTTGCAAGATTGTCTAAGTTCGCACCAAGGATGATGGAAGACCCTGTGGATAGGGCGAATAGGTTCCAAGATGAACTGAAATCGGATCTCCGTAGTCAGTTGATACTCCTGAATCTAAGGGAATACAATGAGCTTTACGAGAGAGCTCAAATGGTTGAGCGAGAAATGACATAATGGCTGCCACTTCTGGATCGCAGTACGCGCTGGCTATAACTGGGAATAGGTGATTTGTCCCTCTAGTGAGAAAGAACTTTCGAAAGCCGAACTATTACTCCAATGCCACATGTCGGTCTTGTGGAAGGAGGCACAAGAATGGCCCTTGCCCAGGTGGACCTGGAATGTGTTTTGGATGTGACCAACATAGTCACCAAGTGAGAAACTGCCCAAACTGACAAGCTAGGCCGCCAATGTAACAACATCAACCATGGGTAGGACATCAAGCAGGAGCTACCTCGTAGAATAACCAGGACCGACTATAGACACAAGGAAGGGTGTGTGCTGTGGCTAGGAAGGAAGCGGAGGATTTATCTTAAAGGTCTAAATGCGATGTGTGATGAAATTTGGTATATTAGAAGTGATTTTTGAGGTTATCGATTGAATAGTCATGTAAGACATATAATTACTTATAGTGAATAGACACAATCAGTTTATGGATTTTGGAGTTACTGATGATATCCTTTGACAAGATTTTGATGAATGAGTTATCCCTTGAAATTTCAGATTTTGTAAAGAACCGAAGTGATTTGTTTTGGGCGACCGTCGGATTGAAATTTGATGGATTGAGCTTTGTCTTTAAGGTATGGAAAGATAGTTATCTTGTGGTTAACTTATTGGATGAGGGTTGCCAAGGTTATTCGTTAACTATGATTGACTAGCTGGGTGAGGAATCAAGGCTAGAGGACATAACCGAGGCGTGTAATCTTCCTAATGTCTTTCCTCAGGAATTGCCGGGATTACCACCTAAGAGAAAAGTGAGATTTGTGATTGAGTTGGCCATGGGACGGAGCCAATCTCTAGAGCACCTTACCGAATGGCATTGTCAGAGTTGAAAGAGTTGAAGGTTCACATACAACAACTACCGGATAAAGGGTTCATTCGTCCAAGTAAGTCGTCGTGGGGAGCACCAATGTTGTTCGTAAGGAAGAAAGATGGTCCATTGTGTTTGTGCATTGGCTATCGGCAGTTGAACCAAGTGACCATCAAGAACAAGTATCTGTTACTAAGAATAGATGACTTGTTCGATCAACTACAAGGGGCATTGGTATTCTCCAAGATAGACCGAAGAACGGGCTACCATCAACGAAGGATTAAGAAGGAGGATAAACCGAAAACGGCATGTCGGATGAGATATGGACATTATGAGTTTACAGTGGCGCCGTTTAGACTGACTAATGCCCCAACCGCCTTTATGGATTTAATGAATCGGGTTTTCAAGGAATTTCTGGATCAGTTCGTCATTGTTTTTATCGACGACATTTTGGGTATATTCGAAAAGCCCTAAGGAGCATGAACAACATCTAAGGATGGTTCTACGGACCCTAAGAGAACACGCACTTTATGCCAAGCTTAGTAAGTGCAAGTTCTGGCTCACCTGAGTGGCATTCTTGGACATGTCATCTTCGAGTATGGAATTTCAGTTGGCCCGACAAAGATTGAGGCAGTTACGAATT